CCCCATGCTGCCAGGTTGAGAAATCAGAGGCTGGGGTCTGGATGGATTGAGGTTGGGCTTACCTTGGAAAGAGCCACGAAGGGGAACTTATCCATCTCCAGCCTGGTCTCCTCCCCCAGCTTGTGGTGGAGCTGACCCTTGAGGATTCGGGCAGCTGTCACTGTGGAAACGCCCATCCCTGTTGGGGGGGAGAGGGAGGAGAGGGGGAGGAAGCTTCAGTCTCTATGGCTCCCAGCTGTCTTATCAGTCTTCTTGGGTACCCACAGCTCTTAAGTTTGGTGCCAGTGCAGGCTTGGGTATTGGATACCAGAGGGTGACTCTGGAAAAAGCAGCCCTCCCCAGACCTGTTAGAGCAGACCTCTTGGGTCTCAATTGGCCCCGCACACCCCCTTCAACACACTTCCTGACCCTTCAACACTCCCCTTCACCTCAGTCTGACTCCTTGGGATTCTACTATGTGTCCCCCGTGCCCCTCCCTAATGTCCCCAGACCTCACCATCTCCCAAGAACATGATGACATTCTTAGCCACGTTGGTGTTGAGATTCTGAAGTTCCAGGGCATTTTTCAGGGTCTGCTGAGCTTGGACTCGCCAGTAATTGGGGTCTTTCTCTTTTTCTGTACAGGAGAAAGCAAGAGTGGCTTGACAGGGTAGGGACAGCTTCCCCTCCCTTAAGATTTATGGACACCCAACATCTCAGTTGAGGGCTGAGCAACCTGGACTTGGAAGAGGATGCAATTGTTTGCAAACACCGTGGGGGCAGTCAAATCTAAACAAGTCTGTGTACCTTGGAGTCTTCTTCCCACATCACAGAATGAAGAAACTGAGCCTCAGAAACACCAAGCCACTTGGCAAGGCCACATGGCATTAGCAGACACCAGCAGAGCTGGCCTTCACTTCAAAACCCACACACTTTCTTCCCACCCAGGAGAGAGAGAGAAGTTCTGCTAAGGCAGTAAACGAACTGGGCTAGCACAATTAGAAAGGCATTATTTAACCCATTTAAGGGAACAAACTACTTCCAACTGCAGGAATCCCTAGATGGACCCAGGCATCGATTATAAACTCTGCTCATTAAAGCAAGTGGAGCAGGAACACAATTTTGCATTGTTACTAGCAAACTGGAGAGCAAGACTGTCTTTTGTGTCACGCATCAAATTTAAAGTAGGCACTTTTTTTTTCTCTTTAAACTATTCTTTTTTTCTTTTAAAGCTTCTATTGTGAATTGAGTGCTAGTTTACATGGAAGAAGATCAGTTTTGTACTCATCCTATTGTATTTTGTTTCAGTGCAATGATTACAATTCCCTCCATGCGTCATCATTTAATAGTATTTGCTTCTAGTCCCTCTGTTTTTTGTTTGTTTGTTTTGATGTACACTAAACACTCAGGAACATATAGTCATTCAAACAACCAAAGGGCACATTCTGCAAGCCAGCCTCCTGGCCACCAGCATACAGCCTTTCTCTTTCTATGAGTCTATAGAGTCCTCAGCAGCTCTATCTCTCCATGCCATCACCCATGCTTCATCTCTGGTGTCACTGCTTCTGTGGTTAGGGTCCTAAAGTAGTTACTTTAATATTCAGTAATTCCAGTTTTTTCCTGTTTCATTTTAGCCATTTAGGATCTCAATTCCTATAGGATAAATTAGCAAGGAGGCTAATTTATGTTATGTCCCTAACCCCATCATAATTCACCACTGATAATAACTCACATACGGACAGTGAAGATAAAATAAGAATCAGAAACATACACACACACTTTCTTTCTCTCTCTCGTGTGTGTGTGTGTCCAGCAATCAGTTCTCCAGTGGAAAGAACATGACAGAATTCAGTTAAAATCCCAGTTGTACCAAGTATCAGATGTATGGCCCTGGGCAAGTCACTACCTTGAGCCTCAGTTTCCTCCCCTGTCAAACGGAGTTGTTTATACCTGCCTCTTGGGGTTGTTGTGAGAACTGGATTGGATAAGGCAAATAACACACGTGGCCTAATGAGGGGATTAAAGTTGGTAGCTTCCCTCCCCTCCTCCCCATAATCCCTCGTCTAGGGCTGGAGTCCTCTTTCCTCCTAGCAGAGGTCCAGGATCCCTGCCCATGGGAGGCAGCCCTTCCCATCGTCTATGGTGCTCTGCCCATGGCACATGCCCAATGGAATACTGATGCTTACAGCTGGGAAGCTACTTGGGGAGCATCTCTTTCAATGGCTTCCCACTGCACAGAAAAGAAGGCTGAGGCCAGGAGAGATGGGAGGGTCTCGCCCAAGGTCACTTTGCATGTCTTGGGCTGGAGACACAATCCCCTTTTCTTGGCCCAGCTCAGGCCCACTCACTGCATCCAGGACAACTAGAGTGAGAAGAGCTCTCTTTTCTTGCCTACTCATTGTTTCCGGGCTATGGACCACCCAGGAGCTGCACACAGAGTAGCATCTCCTTATAGGGTGGAGAAAAGAGCAGAAAGAAGACTTCAAAGGATGGCTCTAGAAGACAAAATAAAATATAATGAAAGGTGCAAAGGTTAGAAAGCCAATAGGGAAGAGCATGCTCCGTTTTTCTCAAGCTGAAAGAACTGAAGAAAACATTCAGGCCTCAAGTTGCAATATGGAAGGAGTTTATGGGCAAAATACTGAACAACAACATAAGAAGCATCCACAGAAGATGGAAGGAATACAAAGTCACTATGCCAAAAAGAATGGGCTGAGATTCAACCATTTCAGGAGATTGCATACGATCAAGAACAGATGGTATTAAAAGAAGAAATTCAAACTGCACCAAAGGCAAAAATCAAGTCTCCAAAAATCAATAGAATACTAATTGAGTGTAATATTTCACCAGAGAACATAATGCTGAAAGTGCTCACTCATCTATGCCAAGAAATTTGGAAGACAGTACCTGGTCAGTTGACTTGAAGAGGTCCATATTCATGACCATTCCAAAGAAAAGTGATCGATCAGAAAGATGTTTACTTGTGTTTTATTGACTATGCAAAGGTATTTAATTGTGTGGATCATACAAACTATGGATAACATGGTGAAGAATGGGAATTCTAGAACACTTAACTGTATGCATGCCAAACCTGTACATAGAATAAGAGGCAGTTGTTTGAACAGAACAAGTGGATACTATATGGTTTAAAAATCAGGAAAGGTGTGTAGCAGGATCGTATCCTTTCACTATACTAGTTTAATGTGTATGCAAAGCAAATAATCAAAGAAGTTGGACTCTATGAAGAAACATGTGGCATGAAGACTAGAAGAAGATTCACTAACAATCTATGATATAAAGTTGACACAGCCTTGCTTCAAGCAAAGAGGACTTGAAACACTGATGAAGATCAAGGACTTTAGCCTTCAGTGTGGATTACAACTCAACAGAAAGAAAACAAAAATTCTCAACAAGATGGATAACCAACATTCTGATAAACAGAGAAAATAGAGACAAGACGGTTAAGGGTTTATGTTTTACTTGGATTCACAATTAACATCCATGGAAGTAGCAGTTAAGAAATCAAATGAGCTTTTGCATTGGGCAAATCTGCTGCAAAAGACCTCTCTAAAGTGTTAAAAAAGCAAGGATGTTACTTTGTGTACCAAGATGCACCTGACCCAAGCCATGGCATTTTTAATTGCTTCATAAGCATGCAAAGGCTGGCCAATGAATAAGGAATGATGTTGATGAAGAATATAGAATATATCATGGACTGCCAAAAGAATGATTAAATCTGTTTTGGAAGAAGCGTGGTCTGAATACTCCTTAGACTTCATCTAATGTGCTTTGAACAAGTCACCCTCAAGGTAAAATCATGCTTGGTAAAGTCGAGGGTCAGAAAACAAGAGGAAGACCTTCAAGGAGACAGACTGACCAGTGGCTGCAACAATGGGGCTCAAACATAGCAAAGATCATGAGGACAGCAGAGGACCAGGCAGTGTTTTGTTCTATTGTTCCTGTTGTTGTTGTTGTTAAGTGCCGTCGAGTCGGTTTCGACCCATAGCAACCCTGAATAGGGTTTCCGAGGCTGTAAATCTTTATGGGAGCAGATCGCCTCATCTTTCTCCCGCGGAGCAGCTGGTAGTTTCGAACTGCTGACCTTCCAGTTCGCAGCCCGATTCGTAACCCCTACGCTACCAGAGCTCGGGTTGCTCTATTGTTCAGTGTTTTGTTCTCTTGTTCCTAGGGTTGCTGTGAGTCTGTAGAGACTCAATGGCACCTAACCACCACCACCACCACCACTCATGACTGAAGAAATGGAGGAGGAACTCAAAATCCACATGCCTATGCCCTGGTAGCGTAATGGTTACGAATTGGGCTGTGAACCACAAGGTCAGCAGTTCAAAACTACTAGTTGAGTTGGAACCGACTCCATGGCACATAACAACAAAACAACAATGCCCTGGTGTCAAGTCCTGGTGTGGCACTTAACAACAACAACGTCCTGGTGTGGCACCTTAGGATAAGCGCTCTACCTCAAGGTCGGTTTGAATCTCAAGGTTGGCGGTTCAAACTCACCAGTTGCTTCTCGGAAATCCTATACAGGGTTGCTATGAGTCAGAACTGACTTGACAGCACACAACAACAACAACAACAACAACAATATGTCCACATTTGGCACCACAAGTCTGTGCCGCCTGTTTCAGGACAAGGGGAGGGATGCTCTTTTCCACCTTAAGGTTTGGGCCCATCCACACTTCATGGCATTTCCACAAGAAACCTCTACTCCAGTTCCTTAACCAGCTGCCTTCACCCTAGCAGCACCCGGCTTCTCCTCTTTCTTTTGAAAATGTCTGCTCAGCTCACCAGTGTCAGACCTCATGGGCTGGGTCCCCTTCTGAGAATCTGTAGATCCCCACCATTCCGGCCAGCTGTGTGCCTTTAGGCAAGTTCCTTCCCTAGAGATTCAGCCCAGGAAAATGGGAGAAGGTAGCTGCCTCAGGCAATTTTAAGGGTTAAATGAGATAAGGTTTGGGCAGTGTCCTACAACTGATAGTTTTGGTCAGAGATTCCACTGGCTCATGGCTTGCTCATGGATTCCACTGGCTCAAGGACCGAGAGGTCCTTTCTTCTTCAAGTGCATTTAGGTGGTGACCACCTATGAGCCCCCTTGGGGACTCATAGCTTGGCAGAACAGCTAGGGCTGACTGGCATTGGAACCTGTAACTCCTTCTTTGTGTCTCTCTAGCAGTGCTGACACCAGTTAGCCTGGTTCACAGCTGTGTTTGCTCTCTTGGGAATCCAGAAAGGGCAGAGTCCTTGTCCTTTTCACCAATTCCACCCCAATACCTGACCTCCAAGAGGAGCTTAATAGGTATTGAGCTGGCTTCATGCCTGTGGGTTGGTTTAACTGCAATGATGGCTTGTTTGGACAAATGAATACCTGGAGGCATTGTTTTCGCAGAATATTAAATGATACGGGCAAATGTTCAGGATGTATTATGTGAAAAGAGTACTTGTCAGTACATACTGTCTGATTCCATTTAAATCAAGTTCAAAACAGGCAAAACTAGTCTGTGGTGGTAGTCATAAGCCTAGTCATTTCCTTTGACTTGGGGGACAGGGGTACTGGTTGAGAGAGATACAGGGAAGTCTTTGGGAGTTCCATGGCTGGGAATGATCGGTCTTTATCTGAATGGTGGTTGACAGCCAGGGATGGGGGTGGGGGCAACCTCTGCTGTCCAGTCAATCTGGCTCACGGCGACCCCCTGTGTTACAGAGTGGAACTGCTTCATAGTGTTTTTATGGCTGTCAACCTCAGGAGGGGGAATTATCTCCATTGACTGGATAGAGAAATTGAGGTTCCATGACAGTAAAGGGGAAGAACTTCCAGTCACATGATAGGTTAAGTAAAGGAAGACTCTGTTTTCCAGCTACAGATACAGAAATTCTGAACCAAAATGAACAATCAAAACCAGCACATAGCTTGAAAGAAAGGAAGGGGGGATAAAGGGGAGCAGGGGAGAAATTAAGAGGGAACTCAAGTCTAGAGAGGTCTACAGAAGCTTTGCTGAGAACTCCTGGGTTGTCAGACCAGCTAGGTTGTCTGGAAGCTTTGGAAGCTGTTAAAATGTACACCTTTACCGGGAGCTATGAAAGGGATTGGGAAAGAAAGTCATTCAAGAAAAAAAATGAATTCCAAATCTGTGCCAGGTCTAAGTGAGGGTCTGGATTTATAGTGTAAGAATCGCAAACTGAGAAATTAACATAAAAACGTATTCAAAATTAGTTGAGCGTCTAGGGTCCTGAACAACTCTAGATCTCAACAGAAAAAAATTAAAAACAGAAAAAACCAGACAACTCCTATTGAAAATGAGTTTACAAGCAAGCCTTATAAACAACACAAGGAAATAGACTACCATGTGGGAGAATAAGCAGACAAAATCTACAGGAGACTTAACATACTTAGAGTTGGAAGGATCTATAGGTTTAATTGTATTTCAGATTATTAAAGAGATCAAGAGAGAATAGAAACTTCAATAAAGAATGGTGGTGGTGGTGGTTCCGACTCACAGTGACCCTGTACAGGGTTTCCGAGGCTGTAAATCTTTACGGGAGCAGAAAACCTCCTCATTTTCCCCATGGAATGGCTGATAGTTTCAAACTGCTGACCTTGAGGTTAGCAGCCCAATTCATAACCACTACGCTACCAGAGCTCCTTCCAATAAAGAATAATACAAAAGGAAGAAGAGGACAAATGACTTATTAACACAATACACACAGTAGTATGAGCTGGGATTCTTTGTGCTTTTTTGAAACTCTAAAATACTGTGGATGGTTCTACGACCTTGAACATATGCATTTCCTTCATCGTATCCCACATGCACCAGGTCTTTCCATCCCTCCATCTATGCTTGCCAATCTTACCTGGAACTAAGGAGTTGGTAAGGCAGGTGCCAAGGGCTAGTACTAAGAGCAATGAAATCATGGTACACCCTAAGACCTGCTTCCTCTCTGGAGTCCAGATACGTGGTCGATGTGGGTGGGTTGGCAGTGGTCAGATGTTAATAGACGTTCCAATCCTAGAAATTAAAAAAATAAGGAAGATGATGTGTGGACCATAGCTCCAGATTTTGTTCATCCATTCCTTCATTCCATCAACAAGTATTTCTTGAGTGTCTATTACAGACCAGGTGTGGAGCTAGGCATTGGGAATAATACATAGGCAACTAAAACACTGAAGGTCTCTTCCTCAGGAAGCTGAATCACACCAATATTTGTGTAAATACAAATGAGTTCCCTGCTGCAACACAGTTCCACACTGTCTCCCAAGAGAACTCTGAACTTCATACTCAACCCATCTGAAGTACGGGATGTCTGAGTCTCAGAATTTAGTGTGCATCAGAATCACATGAAGGTTGGTTAAAACTGATTCCTGGGCCCCACCTCCAAAGACTTTGAACACATGTCTGACAAGTTCCCAGGTGAAGCTGACGCTGCCAGTCTGTGGCCCTCACGTGAGAATGTTCTAGAATGTTAGTCTAGCACATCAGAGACAAAACAAAGAAATCACTCTTTTTTTACAGGGTCACCAATACATTTGCTTTGTTTTCTTCTAGAGCTTGTCATTTTTAAAAAATTCAATTTCCACACTATAGTTTATTTAACTCAATATATGCAAAAACACTATTTCCAGATGTCATCCATATCATTCGGGGGCTATTTTTCTCTTTCTTTCAAACTAAGTCTTTGAAAGCCAGCATGTATTTTACACTTACAGCACATTCCCATTTGCACTGGCGTACTCTGGTAGCGTAGTGGTTACGAGCCGCAAGGTCAGCAGTTTGAAACTACCAGCCGCTCCGCGGGAGAAAGATGAGGCGGTCTGCTCCCGTAAAGATTTACAGCCTCGGAAACCCTGTGTAGGGTCGCTATGAGTCGGAACCGACTCCACGGCACACAACAACAACAACAACAACATTTCTAGTGCTCGAGCCACATGTGACTAGTATCTGCCTTGTGGATGGGTCAGCCCTAGATCCATTCTTGTTGATGACAGTTCTACTCCCAAAATTCCTAGTCAGAGGAAACCATGAAATCCTACACCTAAACTAGTTTGAGCTAAGTTACTCTTGGGTCCAGCTGGCAGTCCTGGTGTGGCACTGTAGGATAAGCACTGAACTGCTAACTTGAAAGGTCGGTGCTTCAAACCTACCAACCATTCCTTGGAAACCCTATACGGGGTTGCTATGAGTCAGAATCGACTTGAAAGCGCACACAACAAATATGAGCCCAAACTAGTTTGAGGTGAGTTTCTGTTACTTGCAACTTAAGGAATCGAGACTAACACATAACCCCCAGGTTCTGTTCCAGAAACTTCAAGCTGGTCATTTATGGAGAAAGAACTGCAGGAGGTGGCCTAGATGGTAAGAGTGGGCTGGATGGTAAGAGTTTCTGAGCGGAGACATTATTTGTTGTTAAATGCCGTAGAGTCTGGAGTCGGTTTCCATTCATAGTGACCCTGTAGAGGGTTTCTGAGGCTTTAAATCTTTTGCAGGAGCAGAAAGTCTCATGTTTCTCCCAAGAAGTGACTGGGGGGCTCAAACCACAACCTTGTGATTCGCAGTTCAGTACTAAACTCCAATAGTTTTTTTTCTTCATTTTATTTTCTGCATTTCCCAAATATTCCTCAGTGTTGAGCTATTACTGCTATAATTAAAAAAAAAATTTTTTTTTTAACTGGCAGGAAATACAACAAAATGTTCACTCTGGTTTTCTTTGGGTGGTAGGGCTATGAATGATTCTTTCCTCTTTTAATTTTACTTCTTTGAATTTTCCAAATTGCCTCAAATGAGCATGTATTAATGGCAGAAGAATGTTTTTAAATTGTGGTCATCCTGTTCGGATCACAACAGACAACTCCGTTGGCAGCTGAGAAATGTACTAATCCTGTGTTATGGATGACTGTTACTGGAAGAGGATACATTTTAACTGGCAAGAGTTTCACTGGCACATAATGCCGTGACTACTACCAAAATCAAGATAAAAATAGGTACTTATCTGTTGCGGAAAATGGTGGTGATGTGACTGTCATTCATTTGACTAGAGTTTGCTGCAACAGCAAAGATAAGGAACCTTCTACCAGCGGGGTGCTGTAGGATAAGCACTGGACTGCAAGGTCGGTTTGAAGGGCAAAGTTGGCAGCGGTTCAAATTCACCAGCCACTCCTCAGAAACCCTATACAGGATCGCTATGAGTCAAAATGAACTCGATGGCACTTAACCCATCAGAAAAGATTCCTGGTGTGGCACAGTAAGTAGGATAAGCACCGGACTGCTAACCACAAGGTTGGTGCTTCAAACCCACCAACCGCTCCTCTGAAACCCTGTACAGGGTCGCTATGGGTCGGAACCGACTCCACCAACTCCACAACAACAACAACTTAAAAAAAAAAGAGAATGTTTTTATGGGTTAAGAAAACCAACACTATGTGATTGAGTGGAAAATATAAGGAATAAAATGCAGAACCCTGTGGGTAAATTCATAAGGACGCACACACATACTAAATATATTATTAGCATGGGGACCTTTGAGGGATAATGAGAAAGGCAGTGGGGTGCAGGAATAAGGGGGGAGGATGGAGAACTAAAACAAGAACTGAACCCATAATAATACACCAAGCACTGACTTACTCAACTTGCGCTTCACCTTGGGTCCAAAATAAATGAATAAATAGGGAAAAACGCAAGTGGAGGGTGATCCCCAGGAGGTCTAAGGGGCTCGCTCCTTCAGTTCTGCATGGTTCTTCCTCCTTTTGTCTGTCTCTCTCCTTTACTAGACTGAGCTCAGCAGAAGTGAAGACTATCTTATCAATCTTGTATCCCCAGCACCACACACACAGTAAACCCAGACCAAACTAGTTGCATTAAGTTGATTCTGACTCATAGTAAGCCTTGAGTGTCAGAGTATAACTGTGCTTAAAGGGTTTTCATAACCATGACCTTTGAGAATTAGATTACCAGACCTTTCTTCTGAGGTACTTCTAAGTGGGTTCAAACTGCCAACTTTTTGGTTAATAGCCCAACATTTAACCATTTGTACCACCCAGGGACCCCGAGCACATAGTGGTAGCTCTGTAAATGTTAAATGAAAGAAGGGTACATGGTTCTGGCTCTGAAGGCTCTGATTTGAGCTTTTAGACCTAGCATTTCAGATGGCCTGTTCTGGAGATAGGTGCCTTCTCCATTGTCTGTACCCAGAACGGGGAGGGGATGCAGATCTGGACAACCCTTCAGAAGCCAGACCTCCCCCGATTGTTCCGCCTCCCAGACCCCCACCTTCTCTGGGCACCCAGAGGCTCCACAGTTACTCTCTGTGGTATGGGGTAACGGGGTTCTCCTCGAGCCTCACCCTGCCTGCCAATGCTCCAGCAGCCCAGAATGGAGTCTCTGGGTCTGAGTGAATGCCAGCTGTCACCCTTTCTCCCCAGCTGGCCTTCTCTGCCAGCCTTCCAGCTACGTGCCCTGAATACTTACAACAAATGAGCAAAAGCCCTGGCTGGCTCTGGCCCGGCAGGTCAGCGGAAGGGGCAGAGGGGCTGGGCTTTGCAGCATAGGGCTAACTCAACATCCTGGGCAGAGGGCATAGGAGCCTCTTGGAATTGAGCAAAAGCCAGACCTGGGATGGCTCTCAACCGATCCAGGACAATGACAAGAACAGGGCTGATAAAACTCACTACCATTTTGGGAGGCATTCCAGTTGTACTGAACCCTGTGCTAGCTGTTCATTCAGAGATCTCACTTAATCCTCATGATGCCCACCATGTTAAGTGCCATCCAGTAGTTCCAACTCATAGTGACCTTATATAGGGTTTCCCAGGAACGGCTGGTGGGTTTGAACTACCAACCTTGCAGTTAGCAGTCCAGTGCTTATTGTACAGTGCCATACCAGGGCTACAATTTTCTTTTCTTTTCTTTCTTTCTTTCTTTATAGCTTGGGAAACCGGGAAGCAGAGGGTCTCTGCTAGCCCATGGTCAAGTGTGATTCACACTCAGGCTGACTCCAAGGCCCAACTGCTCTGGGTGTCAGTTTCTCACCAGAGAGGGGAGAGAGACCAATGCCTGCCCTATCCGTATAGAGGCCGAATGGAGGAGGGTTGCCCTACCTGAGCGGCATAGCCAGGCGGCAGGTGAAGAAGCACAGCAGGACCAAGGTCAGCAGCAGGAGAAGGAGGCTGAAGACCACCGTGAGGACCATGTCCAAGGTGGGGGATAGGAGGGCCATCTTGGGATGGAGAGGGTCCTCAGGAGCTGAACACACCCTGTACTCAGCTGATCTCCAGCGTCTGGTCTCGCTCTAGCCTAGGATGCCCTGGGTCAGAGACTGTGACTTGGCCTGCCTTATCTCCTGGATTAATCTGTGGGGATTAGCCCAAAGAGAGGAGATGGGGAACTCTTAAAGCTCCTCTTCCCAGCTTGCTCTTTCCCCACCTGATGCTTGTTCATTTAATTTTGTCATTAGCTCATTATTCCTCAAACATTTATGGAGCACCAACTGTGGACTGTTCAAAAGAACAAAGAAACAGTGATAGGCACCAAAGAATCAGTGATAAGAAGGTCTCTGTCCTCTTAGAGAGTACTGTCTGACCTGTGTGCACTAAGCACCTACTATGGTTGCACCTCAATGTAAAGAAAACACAAATCTTCACCACTGGACCAATAAATAACATCACAATACATGGAGAAAAGATTGAAGTTGTCAAAGACTTCAATTTGCTCAGATCAACCATCAACACTCAAGGAAGCAGCAGTCAAGAAATTGAAGGACGTATTGCATTAGGCAAATCTGTTTCACAAGACCTCTTTAAACTCCTGAAGAGCAAATATGTCAGTTTGAGGACGAAGGTGCGTCTGATCCAAGCCATAGTATTTTCAATAACCTCATATGCATATGAAAGTTGAGAAGTGAATAAGGAAGACCATAGAATTGATGTGTTTGAGTTATGCTGTTGGAGGAGATTATTAAAAGAACAAACAAATCTGTGTTGGAAGAAGCACAGACAGAATGTTCTTTAGAAGCCAGAAT